TCTTTAATTCACCATAAAGGAGGTCCTTAGGGACTCTACCATCCTCCATTCTCCAGGTGTGACCTAGCTACCTGAGTCTTTGTAGGCTGAGCATGGAAAATACTGTTGTAGTATCTGCTCTTTCCAGTACCTCAGTGTTTGTGATTTTGTCTTGCCACTTAATGCCAAGTATTCTTCTTAGACATCGCATGTGAAAGCAATTAAGCCGTCTCTCCTGGTGCAAACAGGTTGACCAAGTTTCACTGCCATAAAGCAGAGTGCTGAGAACACAAGCCTGATAGACAAGGGTTTTGGTTTTAATTGTGAGCTTTCTGTTCTCCCAAACTCTCTTTGTCAATCTGCTCATTGTTGTTGCTGCCTTACCTATCCTGATGTTGATTTCTTGGTCCAGTGATAGTTTACTATTCACTGTGGGGCCCAGATAGGTAAAATGGTCTACTGTCTCAAGCTCTTCACCCTCAATGTAGACTGTAGGTCTGTCATTGACACGTTTCACCATAACCTTTGTCTTCTTTTTGCTGACTGTTAGTCCAAATTCACAGCATGCATCAGCAAAGGCAGATAGTAAACATTGCGCTCCTCCTATGAGTGGGTGGTTATTGCGGCATCATCTGCAAACAGCAGCTCTCTGATAAGTACCTTTCTTATCCTGGTTTTGGCCTTCAGCCTGCATGCATGGTAAAGGCTGCCGTCAGATCAAGAATGAATGAAAATACCACCCTTCAGATCTCGAAAGGCATGTGTCAATAGAAGTGAATAGTATATTCCAAAGAGGGTAGGAGCAAGTTCACACCCCTGCTTCACTCTAGTTTTGATTTTAAATTCCTCCGATGTTTCACCATCAAAGTTGATTGTACCTTTTATACCTGTGTGGAACCACTCAATAATGCTTAGTAGAGTAGGTGGACACCTAATCTTCTTCAGTGCATTGAACAGACCTTTTCAACTAACCAAATCAAATGTCAGTGGTTGATTTTGTTCGCGGCATTTTTCCTGCAACTGTCATAATGAAAATATCATATCAGTGGTAGATCAGTTCCCACGAAAGCCACACTGGGACTCTGGGTAAACGTGATCCCCCAGGATCTTGAGTCTTCGCAGAACAATTCTCCTAAGCACTTTTTCAACAGTACACATCAGTGATATTCCCCTGTAGTTATTGCAGCCACTCCGATCACCCTTGTTCTTGTACAGTTATGATGTTTGCATCTTTGAAATCTTGCGGAACCTCTTTCCTCCAGAGTCTAATTAACTGATCGATGTGTGGGGGTTAGAACGTCTTTCCCACTCCTGATGATTTCAATAGGAATTGCATCTCTGCCTGGGGCTTTTCCTGAAGCCGATTCATCAATAGCATTCCCAACTTCTACAAAAGTTGGAAATGTGTCCAGATAGTCAAGAGTTGGTAGTGTCTCCATGGCATTAGGAGCACCATCTGCTAGTTTAGTATCAACTGAGTAAAGCTCCAGATAATGTTCCACCCATCTATCTAGCTGCTTCAATTTGTCATTAACAATCTCCCTATTCAAATTATTTAGTGGTGCACTTTTTTTAATTGTAGGACCAATGGCCTTCTTAATCCCCTCATACATGCCTCTAACATTACCACCACTGCTAGCATTTTGAATGCTATCACATAGCTGGATCCAGTAGTTGTTGGCACATTGCCTAGCTTCATTTTGCAAATGATTTCTAGCTGCTCTTGATTCAATGAGAGTGTTCCTTGTTCTTTCCTTGTTTCTGAGGAGTATTGCCTTTTTGCTGTCAATTAAACATTGGAGTGTCTGGCTTTTGCTTCAAACTAGTCCTTACTTCTATTTTCTCTAATCCCATAGACTGATACAGCTGTTTTGTAAACAGTCTCCCTAATTTAATCGCATTTTAGGCTTGCTGTAGAGTTATCCTGGATATCAGTGAAAGCATCTTCAAAACACTTTTCAGGATTTTTAGTTTCGGAAATATTTAACTTAGGGATTTATTTGTTTTTTGAAGGGGAAATTCTCTTTGGTTTCAGCCGAACTCTTGCAGCAACTAGGGAATGGTCAGTATCACAGTCAGCACTGTGGTAGCTGCGAGTTAGTGATACACAGTTCAAGTGCTGCCTCCTTGTGAGAATAAGGTCCAGCTGGTGCCAGTGGTCAGATGTTTCCATGACACCTTATGGCGATCTTTAGTTTTGAAAAAGGAGTTTATGATGCACAAGTCACTTCTAGTGCAGAATTCCAATAGTCTCTACCCATTTTCATTCATGTGGCTAACATTATATTTTCCAAGACAAACTGGCCATGAGTTTGAGTCTAACCCTATGCGAGCATTAAAATCACCAAGTATATAGATGCTGTCAGATTTAGAAATTGATTTCACTGCGTTATCTAGTTCCTCATAAAAAGAATCCTTTGCGTCCTCTGTTGACGTTAGTCGAGACCGATTAAGGCCAGGGATGAAATTCCTCCTCTCCATAGCACAAAGCCTGGATATACATATCCAGGGTGTATTATAGATTTGGCTTCTGGAACCCAAAATCTTCTACAGAAACTTCATTATTTGTTTGACTTTGGATTACGTCTTGAATTATCTTGAGGAGAATGTTAGTTATACAGCTCATTGAGCTAACAGTTCTGCTCAACAGTGTTGTTTAATAATGATTAAACAATTTCTAGTGTTATTTTGTTGTCAGGACCTGAAACGTTCCCATGCTTTAACTGTTTGTAAATAACCTTCTCCACTTCAGCCTTTAAAATGTTTAGTCCGTCCTAAAGATTGTAGTTATAGTTTGTTACCTCTGTTGTCCCAAATTGGTCTGAACATTAGTCAACTTATCAACTGTAATTTATCTATATTTTCCACTGATGCAACAATTTACTGTTAAATGTTTTGTCTTGTTTGTTTCTGATTTTACATTGTCGGGGACTTTTTTAAATGTCGTTATTTATTTCTAGATCCTCTACTTCATCATTCTTAACATGAATCCAAGAATCTTTAGCAACTCTATCCATATTATGTATTTCCCTGTCTATTAGTGAAAATTCAGAGTGGGGTACCTCTCTTTGTATTATTTTATTCATTATTTCTTACTATTAGCATGTCAACACTTCGTTGGCTACGGAAAAATAGGACAGAGAAGGAGTGGGAATATCACAAGGGCAATCATTCATTCCTGGTTTCTTCAGTTATGTACACTGAACTGAACTGAATTTCTACCCCACCAAGACATCACACAAGCGATAAACACCTGATGACACAAAGTGCCACCATGTGGATGAGGATCGCCGTGGAGAGGTCCCAGAAACCGCGTTCAGACATTTGGCCATATATGGCCTGCCTATATTGCGGCCCCTGGCAAAAGCCAGAGTAGGGCTTCAAATGACAAAAAAGTTCGTCCTAAGAAGGACGAAGTTAGAATATTAATGTACACTGAATTTTTTTTTTTTTTTAAATTTGCCTTTCACTGTTATGTTGGCATTTGAAGTTGTTAAGAATCCCTAATTTGTCACCGTCTACACCATACGAATAAATAAACACTGGGGAAAATTATTCCTGTGAATGCCGATCAACAGATTGTCTGTGTGTTTATATATATATATCTCGATCCTTTTAGAACATGCTTGTTATAGAGCAGCGGGGTCTTTCTCCAGCTCATAGAACCAGGCAAAGGAAACCACAAGGGGAGAAACCGATTTTTAAATATTGTACACATCTATTAACTTAAATTAATCTTTGATTACATCCCTTATTTGATCACGGCTGTCCGCGCTTTTTGAATGGGGCGGATACGTGGGTTCTGTTAGTGAATAATTAAATGGCAACATCATACATAGAATGCTTGATGGGAACACGAACAGTGGGATTTCGATCAAAGGAGACAGACCGAAAAACTGCCGACCAACGACGTGGTCGTCTACCGGACAGCCAATGGGCGACCCCGGTCGCCAATGCTAGAACACTGCTCTGTGATTGTTCCTTTTATAGTTCCATGCCGTAAGCCGTTGGTGAGTTAATGTATTTTAACAGATGCTGATGTTCTTCCGGCGATAGTGCTGAACAGACCAACACAGTCTCTCCTGGTCATCCTCTACCGCCTACATTCCCTTTGTTGCAGAGTGCTATAATTTTTCCGGCTATCCTCCGAAAAACGGTCCTAAATTATCAATGCGGAAAATATACCCTAACAGGGCCTCAGTCACGTGTCATTTGCGCACTTCCGTCGTCTTAAACTGCGCGCTTTCGGCGACTTCCGCCACCGCCAAGAGTATCCCATACGCCGCTCACGCGGCGTGGATTGGTGCTGAACTTGATAGCTGTGACTCACGAGCGGCAGCTACCGCATCTCCTGCAGCTGCCTTCATGTTATTTGCTCGTGAGTCCTAGCCATCTAGTTTAGCCCCAATCCACGCAGCGTGAGCGGCGTATGAGATACTCTAAGCGGTGGCGGAAGTTCGCAATTCGGCGGTGGCGTTATAGTCCCTGGATGTGCGCAATTGACACGTGACTGAGGCTCTGTTAGGGCATATTTTCCGCCTCGATAATTTAGGACCGATATTCGGAGGATAGCCATTTTCCCCTTTACTCTTTGTTTGGTATAGACGATGGAGTAACCCATAAGTGCTCCGTTTTACTTCTAACTCAAGACTGAGTCCGAAGTTTCTAGGCGCAGTGCACGAACTCCGTAGCACCGCCGAGGACCCTGAACTACTTTGGGTAAATTTGTAAGTCCACAATTTTCATCAGAATGAAACACACTGCTATTGTTACATTATTTGTGACACTGCAAGGTACAAGAGGGAGCAAACAGAGATATTTGCTCATCTATTTGTTATGCACCCCTCTTCATGAAGCCCAGTTCTACGCCTCTGAAATTAGGCGTGGTTGTGCAATGTGTAGTAGTAAATGTAATAGTTGCACGTGCACTGCGATGGCTGAGAGTTTAGTCCGTAAATAAGATGTAATTGTCCAACACAATCAGAGCAGGAAGAGTGCGGTTAGGCAGACGGCCAGGCAAAATGATGCATGGGAAAGGTTGTATGTTGTACATGGTTGGATTTCTGTTTCTTACCCCGGCAGCCTCAAGAACTGTGAGTACAAGATTTTATTTTGGTTTCTTTTTAAGAACAGTGAGTTTGGGCTTTCATTTCTGTTGTTGTTGCCCGAGGAATTTGGTCCATGTTTAGGAGCTTTTAATTGTGCGTTTACACATTTAATATGATTTCAAATATATTATAATATTTATTTGCCTCTTATTACAAAGTAATATTAATAATAATGGGTGTTGTTACTGCGCGCTTAAACAAGAATTAAACCCCTTTAGCGCCCCGTCCCCCCAGATAATTACACTTTATAATTTTTGTGGTGGTTTAATGTTATTGAGTTAGGCCGTGTGGTTGGAGTTCTGAATCTGTCTTATATACATTGTTTAGTAAGATAGTCGACAGATTAGTCTCACTGAACATCAAACCATTCAGTCCATAAGTGCACGGATCCCCTCCTCAGTAAATCCCACAGCGTGTAGCGGCTGACAACACCAGGGTTGTGTTTTTTTTTTAAATTTAAATTCTTCTTTGGCTTCCTGTATATTGCTCTTGTCTGGCTACTACCATTTTAACTTCTTGTTCTTGCAGTAACGTCATGGTTGCAGATTCGCAGTCACTTGGTTCTCGCAAACGTTTTACTTCCCCTAGAACATATACAAGCCTGATCCATAGATGGTCCGCCCTCCACAGTAGCCTTACCTGTAAGCCATTCCGCTTACCCATTTCCCTGCACGCCTGAATACCCAGACACGAAAATGAAACCGATCTTTGCCAGTGCCGATCGCACCAGACACCAACCACTGTCATCGAACTCAGCCCGTTTACATTAGTAAGGTTCGCATGAAAAAATTCTCACGTGTGTGCAGTTACCTTCATATTCGTCCCAGGGTATGCAGGCGTTGTTGGTAATGAAAGAGCTGATAGACTTGCAGGTGCTGCATTATTTGAAGATGACCGGCCCACGGATCACGCAGACATTGTCATTGCCCTTAGAGAGATAGGACGTTCTGAGGATTTTAGGAGCAACGTGTCCACATCACTGCTAAGAATATAAGAATTTGGAGTAAAGATCGGCACAGCCAAGCACGAAAAGCACACCGGACGCACACGAAGTCTTGTTAGCCAACATAGAATTGGAACCATTAACCGCGCGACGCTAATGAATATGTTGGGAGGGGAATCTGAGCGCCAATGGATGTGTCCAGAGTTCTAACTCATAACTTAACCCGTCTACATCTTTCAGAGCATACTAACTGTACATAACTTGTTTAAAATTTTTTAGAGTGTGTAGCAAGTTGAAATAATTATTAGCCATGTTTCTCTAGTGTACGAGAGGTCAGACGAAAAATAGCTTCTTCTTCTTTAAGTCCATGCCGTGTGGCGTTGGTAGTCATGTCTATCCACAACCTCCTGTCTCGTGTACTTTCAATCAACTCTGACACAGATGATTCTGCACGCTTTGATGTAAAACTATTCAGTATCTTTTTTTTTCTCGGTCTCCCTCTGCCTCTCCTCCCCTCCGACTTTCAAATCGACATGATATATTCCAGTTGTCTCCTTCTCATCATGTGACCAAAGAATGTAGATTGTCTCCTTTAGATGTGGGCAATTAGTTCTCTTTGTGAGTTTCTTTAAAGATATATTACTCTTTTTATCTGTCCGTGGTATTCTCATCATTCGTCTATAAAACCACATCTCCGCAGCTTCCAAGTAATTTTTCACTAAACTACTAAATGTCTACGATTCACTTCCGTACATCAAGATAGGATTTATATAGCTTTTTGGAATTCTCTTTCTCGTCTCAACTGACAAAGAAAGAAAAACTGCGTTTCATGAAATTCTTGCAGATATGAGAAACAGAAAATTGCAAAAACGTTGATCCGCCCACATTTAAGCACACTGTGATTGTTGTATCACAGACATAATATTGTGGAGTGCAAGTCGGCGGAAGATGGGATATAAGTGGAATGGCTGATTAACAAAGGTTGGCACGTTAAGGGTCTTTGTAACATTACTCCCTCCCTTTCTCCCCCTCTCTCTAAACATCTACACACACACGCAGGCACACACACACACAGAAACTCACACGACAGATTGATCTACAGGGTGGAGGCTCGGCCATCCTTAGCACCCCTCCCTTAATTTGTGTGCCTGTGAAAGGGGGTGGGGGGGGGGCGGCGCTCAATAGTCAGTTTCTTTAGTTCTCTTTCTCCACTGACTTTTGAAGCGGATAGAAGGCTGTTGGGTTGTTGTTAAAGGCCTTCTAAACAGCAATGACCTTGACTAACTTTGGTTCTATATGACTCTCATTTATGTAGCTGTTGTGGACTTCCGGATGACAACATTTAGTAATGTGTTATGTACACCAGGAAGCGCCTTCGCACCTGTACGCTGCTCTGAGAGAACCCCTCTCTCAGCCGTATTGCTTTGGTTGTCTTTTTACATTCGATAAACGCTTTAGAACCAACATTCTGTTATTTAGAATACACTGTGAGAGTAGCCGTTGCTTGTATAAGTTTCAGCTCAGATCCCTTTTTAACTCAGTGTCGAAATTATGGTATATTAAAACATTAATAAAGAAAAACATTTTTAGTACGGTAATGAGAAGTATGAACCTGACTGGTTACAACACAATATCAGTGTTTATTATACAATTTAAGCAGTTACTACGATTTTACGCTGCTAAACTATTTTCAAACAGGTGAGAACGGTTTACCATATATATATATATATATATATATATATATATATATATATATATATATATATATATATATATATATATATATATATATATGTGTGTGTGTGTGTGTGTGTGTGTGTGTGTGTGTGTGTGTGTATGTCCATCTCTCTCTCACTTTCTCTCTCTCTCTCACTTTCCGTCGCTGATTTATTTTTATCCAACGCCTCCTCTCATCCGCATCTGAGGCTACTAACGGCCCCACGGACCGTCTCAATGACCCCTTCCTACCGCCCCCTTCCCTCCAAGAAGAAACTGGACCCCTGGGCCGCTCCAGCGCCCCTCAAGGGGCGGTACCGCCCAATGTGGGAAACACTGGTCTATACAAATATTGATTTACTTCTACACTGGTCACTGAAAGGACTTTGGTACACTGTGTCGTTGTTTACAGCTAGGATGCGATATATATTCAGTTGAACCCGAATGAATTCGATGTTAGCAAACCGTTAATTGACCATCTTATAGCACATACTTTTAAATCGCAGCGGGTCTGATGTTGCCCCTACCCTCTTCCCCTCCCCAATCAATTTCGCAAATTGGATCCAGAAACCACGCATTATTATTTTACTATGACTGACATTTTTTTTCGGTGAAGATAACTCCATTTTTATAAAACTTAAAAATTGTATATTTACTCATAGGAAACTCGTAAAAGCATTTCAGATGCACTAGAAAAAAGCGTCATTACTGCCCGAGCCACAGATAACGCAGGCGCAAATTACATCAGCACGCAGTACGAACTCCCAGACTCCAGAGACGAGAACGACTGGGCAGTAGCCAAACACCAGATGCTGACCTCAGTCATTAGTCGTCTGTCTAATGTCACTTCCGTTGAAGATATTCTAAATTTGGGGTTAAAGAGCAGTGGCGGGCGACCTTTGACTGCAGAAGATCGTGAGTTGACTGTTTGTCTCTAAATAAATCGAAAAAATATCATTCAGATTTAAATTATTATACAATAATTTGTTTTTAAATGTTGATGGCAAATGGCAGGTATCAGTACTACTGCTGATGTTGCAGTTAGTCTACTGCTACAGTTGCTGCTACTACTACTACTGCTGCTACTACAACAAATATTACTACATACTACAACCACTGTCGGCTCTGTGGCTAAGTCGATGCGAACGCTTCGTAATGCCGGGATGCCGGGTCGATCCCAGCTGCGGGCCATGCACCTTGCGTTGGTTTCGACAGTGGTATCAAGAAAGCCGACCGTCCAGAAGCAATGAAAAAAAAAAAAAAAATTGCCTAGAAAAACCACACGACAGCCAGGGGCTGTTGGGGTTTGTTCTGCAACGTCCTGTAAAGGATACGCAACAACTACAGCCACTACATACTGCTACCTACTTTTACTAGTATTAGTATTAATACTACAGCTGTTGCTGTTGCTGCTGTCACCACTTCTGCTGCTGTTATGGTACATTAATGCCTTTGCATATTTCGCTATCACTGCTGTTATTGCTGCTGCTGGAACATCTACTGAGTCTGTCTGTAGCTATTTCTGCTGCTTTTTTTGTTTTTGCTGCTGGTACATCTACCGCATCAGCATCCATTGCTATTGCTGCTGCTGCTACTACTACTGTTTCTGCTACTGCTGGTGTATCTCTGTCTCTGCATCTGTTGCTTTTGCTGCTGCTGCTGCTACTACTACTGTTTCTGCTACTGCTGGTGTATCTCTGTCTCTACTATTGTTGCTATTGCTGCTGCTGCTGCTACTACTGTTTCTGCTACTGCTGGTGTATCTTTGTGTCTGCATCTGTTGTTATTGCTGCTGCTGCTACTATTACTGTTGTACAAGATAATAACCACTCATGATCTGCACTTATATTTTTGTTGTTTTCCTTTTCTAAAATGAGTAGGTCAACCACAATTTCAACACTACCTGTAGTAACAACAATAAGACGAAACGTACCTTTGACAAATAAACTGAGCTGTGTCGGTTGTTGACTGGCAGTCATAGAGGAAAGTATAGTATAACAGAAGTAAAGATAGGAGGACACACTAGATAACATGAAAATCGAAAGCTATAGTTAACATACCAGGAATTTCTTCCTTCTTCTCTTTCGCGTTCACCAGTTGAAAACTCTTGCGGAATGTCCCAAATATACTTTTGGTCCACTGCAGGAAGTTGGTCTTGTTCCGGGACTTTGGTATTGCAAGCACGTTCGTTTTAAAGATCTGGCTTATTTGTGAATCGACTGTTGGTTTCTAGTCTCTCTGGCAGATGCACTCCGACTTCTAAAGAAACGTCGATCCTGTCTACTCTGGCTAGGTACCCGGCTAGGAACCCTGTGTTTAGGATAACTGCGGAGAGGTTCCTATCAGTATATATATCCAAGTCCGAGTGCACCACTGCAGCAATGGTTCCTTTCTGTATACTATATTGGGAATTCATTCGTTCCTTCCAAAACAACAGTTTTAGACCAAATGGCATCAATTTTGAAATGCAACACTAAAAGAACACTCTTCAACACAATATTCTTACCAATGCTATGCTCTCAATGTCAAACATGGACACTGTCTTTGGAAGACAGAAGGAAAACAGTTACAACAGAAATGAAATGTTTTCGTACTATGCTAGGTGTAACGAGAAAAGATCGACTTAGGAACTATCTCAGGAGGAGAGTCGGCACAGAACCAATACTGAACTTTATAGGTTGACAACAAATCAAATGGTTTGGCCATGTAACAAGAATGTCATCAGACAGGACACCACAGGAAGCCATTTTTTAGGGATACAGCGGTAACAGAGCCAGAAGTCGACCGCAGAAATATCAGAGATACTAAAAGTACTTCAAACGAGATGAACAGAAAGGCCCCTTCCAGCGATCTCTTTCTGCCCTGACGCCGCGAGGCATTCCAGGAGAGAGAAAAGAAGAAGAAGAAGCTTCCAAAGAACCATGTTATTTCCCTGCAGAAACAAGTGTACTTCGATGTTAGTCCAACTTACCAATCCAGTAGCTATAGTTTTCGATTTTAATGTTGTCTCTAGTATGTTCTTCTGTCCTCTCTTTTCATGCATATCTAGGAAAGCCAATCAGAAAAGTTAAGTTAGCTCATCAAGATGTTTCAATGGCCCGAGAAGTTCTCTATCCATTTGTCTAAGTGTATTATCATTACATATCAACATCAGTTCTGAGAAATTCAAAAACAGTCTTCAATTGTTTTGTTCTTCTGTTTTACCAGTGTCGGCGTTTTACGACAATAAAACAGACAAACTGCTGATTAACGGAAGTGAGTTATGTTGTTGTTTATTTAACTGTTATTTCATCATCATCATTATCGTCATCGTTATCATCGTCGTCATCGTCATCATCATCCTTCTCATCGTCATCATCATCGTTGTCATCATCATCATCATCATCGTCGACGCCATCATCGTCTTCGTCATCATCATGGTCATCCTCGTCGTCACCAGCGTCGTCGTCGTCATCATTATCATAGTCATTATTATTATTATCAATATCTTTGTCATCATCCTCATCAATATCCTCATCCTTATCGCATCATCATCATCATCATGTTCATCATCATAATCGTCATCATCATAATCGTCATCATCATAATCGTCATCATCATAATCATCATTATTAACCTCATCATTGTCGTCGTCGTCGGCGGCATCATCATCATCAGTGTACCATCAACGTTGTCGTAGTCGTCATCATAAATGGAGACATCTCAACACTAAAGCTATAGCACACGGGTGGTTTATGACGAGTTTGTGACGCTAACCCGATTACGTGATCTGAAAGTAAAACCTTTCAAAGCACATCGTCGAAGTCAAGATACCGTTACCCGCTAACGATTACTCTTGCGTACTGATCATGAATAGCCACTGGTGTGGACGGCCTTTCAAAAACGACTTTGGCCGAAAGGCAGTCCAACCCTAAATTGGTATCAGATAAAGTCATGGGAAGTAAAGGCAGCCGGCGTACTGTCGACTACATTATTTACCACTTGCCAACTGATCTCTAAAATATAGGTCTAGCACTAAATGCCCAATACGCCATGGGGCCTGGTGAAGGGTCATTTACTTTCTTATTATTGGGGAAGGCCAGACCGAAAGAATTCGCAGGCATTTTGTGACCCGCGGGCTGAAGTTTCCCACCACTGCTATAGCAGAAGCATCACGACTACAACGAGAACAGGATGGGATTGTGAGATGAAATAGATTTATGTAAAATAACCGGACAAAGGAATCATAAATGGGTTCTCCTTGCAAAAACGGTCGCTACTTGGACGGCGACGGCCGCTTAGTCGGAGTTCAGTCCCCTGGCTGCAGTGCAATTACGGAGTGGACACGGCACGAATCACAAAACACAGTGGGTTTAACATGGCGTCTAGACCACGCACTGCGACTCACATTAGCCTAACCCTAACCCTAACCCTAACCATAACCCTAACCCAAACCCTACCCCTAGCCCTAATTATGTCATTTGTGTCGTTCCCTCTTTTCCACTCCGTAATTGCACTGCAGCCAGGGGACTGAACTCCGACTAAGCTGCCGTCGCCGTCCAACTAGCGACCGTTATTACAAGGAGAGCTCATAATTGTAACCATAACTCATCATCATCGTTATAGCAGGTATTATGAAGAACATCCCTCTCATCACAGAGTGCCGGTAATCCAATAAGTGCTTTGCCGAACTTTCACGCCAAGGATGTCTTTGGTTTTCTGTGTACATCCTCAATTGGATGCTTCTTCTTCCATGAACAATATCCAAAAGTTATATAAAGCTCCAAGGCCCCTACTGTTTTCAATCACAACAGCTAATCTCATAACAACTTTAAAATAGATACGTCTTTTCGAGAGGAGCGGCTGACTGAACGGTTGGGCAGTTGGGCTCTCAAGCGGGAGACCCAGGTTCGAATCCTCAGTAAGGCTGGGGATTATTTTTCTGTCCGGGGCAAAATAAAAACCTCAGCCGCACAGTCGTGGCGACAGCAGTTGCCATGAAGCCGTAAATCCTCAGACTAAAAGACCCCCCTGAATATACAGTAAAAGTGGTAATAAAGGCAGTTTCTGGCAGATTTTTTTTTTTTTCAACGCCGTTTTGAAATACGGATGTTGGAAATATATTGTCGTTTAATAATTAGTTGAAAAAAAAAAATTACCATCATGACTACAAAATAATACACATATTTATTTACAATCCTCTCAAAGACTGTGTTAAAGGAAAATTGCATTTGTAAAAACAATGGGAATTTGTTGAGGCCACTGCAGATTATGAGGCCCTAAGATGTAGCTTAATTAGCTTATGCCGAACACCAGCACTGCCTTCATACTATTCTTTCTAACCCAGCGGTTCTCAATCTGTCATTCGCAACCCCTCTAGGGGTCGAACGACCCTTTCACCGGGGTCGCCTAAGACCATCGGACAACACATATTCATTGAAGTTATGAAGAAGCAACGAAAATAATTTTATGCTAGGGGGATCACCATAACAAGAGGAACTGTATTAAAGGGTCGCGGCATTAGGAGGGTTGTGTACCACTGATGTAACCCATTATGGCGTTTAACATGACCGAAGTTTTTAGTTTACTAAAAACTACATTGTTTTTTTTTTTTAGCAGTCTCGTTATATTCATTCAGTAGCAAATGTGTAATACAGGGCCATCTTGTTGTCTTACAAGTGATGATACTACTGATTGTTAAGATATTCATTAAAAAAGATCACTGTTCTGGATTAAAAAAAGAACTGCCATAACTGCCCCATGTACCACTCTAAAGGGTGATTCAGCACAGAAGACAAATAAGTCTGACGATATGGGGTTCCGAAACTAATGCAGTCACCACAGACTATAAGGGTGAGATCTTTTGTAAAGAATGTCAGGGTTAAGTTTATGTTAGTCTTCTCAAACAAAGCAGGTCATGTTTCATTCACAATTTTGTTGGACTGGACTACTTTCCTGCAGGTTACGGGTGTGCTAGTCTGTTGTTTGCTTTCTGTGTTGTCTTGCATTTACGTTTTTATTTCGAGAAAGAGAATGCATGTGACATAGGTTGCAGCACTCTCTATGAGGGTTGTGTTAGACCCAGTTTGTCCATGTTTTTTAAGTGTTAAAAGCGCTGGCATGCTGAAATATACAACACGCCATATCAACGGCATTGCGGAAAACCCCATAACCTTGTGCCAAGGTCACGTGGCTCAAGGTCTACCAATCAGAAGTGAGCTAGTGTGTATATGGGCGGAATCTGGGGAGTGAAATATAAGTTTTACTGAATGTAAGTATTTTCTCTACTCTTGATCCATGACACTCTAAGAATAGTACTGCAATTTTCCGGCTCAAACATCCCAATTTTCCTTTTTAGTGACTTCAAAACAGCCTTTGATTCACAAAACTGCAAGGCTAGGAAAACACAAATGCAAAATTACAACATGTGAGATGAGTTGTATAAGAAATGGGGCTTGAAAAACAAGAAGAGACTGAGTGACTAGCGAAGAACTAAGAAATGTGGAAGCACAGTACGGGTAAATGATTTCGCAGAACATCAGAGGATCATATGGTTTGATTACCCGGTCAGAACAGAATAAAATCAGCCAACAGATAGATCTTACTACATGAGAACAGCAGTCTACAAGGCCTGATGCCGACCAAAAAAAAAAAAAAAAGACATGGATGGATAGAGTAAAAGAGACACTAAAGAAACGCAATGGGTCATTAGCACAAACTACGCCAAAAGACATGAAACTACATCTAACTCCTTTGTCTCTGCTGCATAGGCAGTAAGTCAACAGAAGAAAGAAGAAGTAAGGTTTGAGGTTTGAGCAACGGATCAACATCATGGCACACGGATAGTAACCCATGAGTGCTCCGTTCTTCTTTTAATTCAAGTCTGAATCCGAAGAAGCTCAGCACAGCAAACAGGCTCTGTAGCACCGGCGAGAATCCTGAAATACTTTGGGTAGATTTTTATCTCCAAAATCTGGTCGGACAGCGCCGTTAGGCTACTCTTTTCGATTTCCAGCTGCCAAAGGATTTTTACCTACCCCAAAATGCACACAATCTCACTACCCAGAGACCATGGGAAATTACTAAGTCCATGTCCACGTGAAAAAATCCCAGCCTTTACAGGGGATTGAAGAAGAAGTAAGGTTTTAGATAAACATATACAAAAACAACACCAGCAAAAGAGTGCGTCTACGCCCATGAACAAAGAAAAAGTACACATTCCGTTCAAGTGGGGCTATTGAAACCTGCATTCGGTGTTTAGTCGATGGAGATACTTGACCTGACTTGGAGATGGACTTTTTCTCACGACAACGCGACGTGACTTCAGCATTGTTTATGTGATAAGTGTCATTGACTTGGGTCGTGCCTCCTACACACTCACACACAGCTGAGTGTGTAGCACATGTTAGACCTTCCTTGTTATCTAACTAAAAATCTTCTTCAGAAAGAGTCCTCATTGCTTGTAATATATAATAAACAAATAGACAATGTATTGATCGGCACTCATAGACAGAAGTAGAAAGATAGAAAGACACACTAGACAAAAATGGAAAGCTACAATTGCCTGTGTATGTTGTGTAGGTGTGTGTTGTCTGTGTGTATTTTGCATTTGTATGTACATGTTTTGACTGAGCGATTTTGTTTGTGTCTGACTATATGTTATGCCTATGTGTAAATGTTGTGTCTGTGTGTAATGTGTCCTGTCTGTGAATGTATGAATGCCTGTCGATGTTGTGTGTGTGTGTGGTCAGTGTTGTGTGCCTCTGTGTATGCTAGTATGTTGTGTATGTGCGTATGTGTGCTTGTGTGTGTTTTGCGATGTGTGAATATTTTTGCACGTATATTTAAAGGTACGCATTTGCCATCCATGCTTTTGTATGTTTACTGTACATTTATATTATGCATTTTAATATGTAAACATAATATGTTTGATAAATAAAATACAATTGCTGAATAAAAGATAATTGCTAAGACAGACATGCTTACCAAATTTGCAACCCTTTGGAAATAAAGTTAGATCATTCGTTCGTTTGTTCTGTCTATCTGTACGTCTATTTGTCATTCTTTATGCCGCTCTTTTTTTATCTGTCAGAATGTCTGCCTGTTTATTCATCTGTTTGCTTGTCTGTCTGTCTTTCGGCCTCCTGACTCTGTTTTGTATTTCTGTATATTTGTCTATCGATCCATCTCGTCTGTCTGTTTTTCTGTCTGTCTCTCTGCTAGGTTTTTTGGGCTGGTCGACTTTCCTGAAGGTTACGGGTGTGTCCCTCTCTGTTGATGGGTTTCTGCGATATCTTGCATTTATGTTTTCATTTCGAGAAATAGAATGCTTGTGGCGTAGGTTGCAGCACTAGGAGATTTGTGTTAGACCCAGTTTCTTCATATTTTTGGAGTGTTAAAAGCGTTGACGTGCTGAAATATACAACACGCGATATCAACGGCATTGCGGAACACCACCGTAACCGTGTGCGAAGGACACGGGGCTCAGGAACTACCAGTCAGAAGTGAGCTGGTGTGTATATTAGCGGTGTCTGGGAAGAGCAACGTCGAACTAACCCAATATGATTTATATGTGTTAAATCTCCATTTGTTTCTACATCCATCTGATTGCAAAGAACATCTGTTGAATAACTAATTTAAACATTGCATGAGTGATTTATGTAACCTATCATTGTGTGACTGGCAGCTAATGATTTATGTAACCAATCACTGTAGCGGTTTTAAGTGTGAATAGCGTGTGTCTGTGAAACAGTGGTACTGTTTAACAGTAAATGCTGATCTTTCGGTAATGAATAAAACAATTTGTTTTTGTATGTGGCTTAGCGGTTGTGAAAAAAACTTCACACCTCCGTTATACTACGCTTGAAACTAATTTGCAGGCGATTTGACAGCAGTGGGTTTTCCCCCCGTTGATTTCTGTAAGGGTATCTTTTTCTTCTTCACGTTTACCGGCTGTAAATTCCGACGAAAAGTTCTGGTTTTCGTCAACTTCTAGACTGCAGTAATGTTCCAGAACCCGGGTGTTGCGTGTGCATCCGTTTGACAGATCTGATTAATTTGTATAAAGATTGTTGGTTACTTGTTTCTCAGGCAGATGCACTCCGACTTTGAAGAAAGCTCCCAATTAGTCGACTCTTACGACGTGCTTTTGCGTAGGCAGTGGGTCTATTCTTGTTTTCCTTATAATAGGGTTCCGAAACCTACGCGGGGACGATAAGGGTATGAATATCGTGGGAATTCCATATGAAAATTCATAGTGCATCCTGGATCAAGAAGCTGAAAAATACTGACATTCAACGTGATCTGAACATAGAGAGGTACGCGTCCTGATGGCATGACATCTTAATGACACGACCAGTTGCATCTTGGATAACCATCCAACAAGACCAATCCAAGATGCCACGTTGGAAGATGACCACGAAGAAGGACTTGAGTTGCTCCTGTACTTATTCTAAACAGAAGAGATAGGGACATTTTAATAAATCCCGCTTACGGTCCTGATTTGTCCCCATGTGACTGTCATTTACTCGGACCCTTAAAACAAACTCCCAATCTACAACGTTCCACGTCAATACAGACCTCATGACAGCCCTGAACAAATGGTTCAATGAGAAACCAAAGACTTTCTTCTGTACAGTATCCATCCTCTTCTCTTCAGTCAATAGGATGCGCGACTGAATGATGCCCACGGTGGCAAATTTTGGCGAGTCCAGGAACGCACCAGCTTTCCAGAAGCTGGTTTGTTTAAAGCTTTGCTTCAGCTGCTAATATACTTTTGATACTTTTGTGGTAAGGTCACTGGGGCTAGATACTTTATTAGTTAATTGCAGCTCCAAGCCATTGTTGGTTAGATACTTTATCCGTTAACCGCACTTCCAACTTCATAGCAAACGGGTCACCCCATAGTTGCTCCGTCCTCTGACAACGGAAGCCACACAGAATGTCCATCACTGTACGTTGCGAAACAATTAACACAAATAAATGCAAAAGACATCCGCGGGAAGTGCCAATACAAACAGCCCGACTCTAGAAATGCAGTTGGTCATCGATGGAAGCAGCAGTGACAGAGATCTGTAATTACATAAGCAACTAATCGCATAAAGAACCACCAGTTCGGTGGCCTCAGGCTACTCTCCATTTTCTGAATCCGCAGTGCACAACTCAGACCGCTGTGAACAGCCAAAAATGATTCCTAATGAAATCCGCAGCTCATAGTGTCGCACCATACACTCAGCTATATTATTTTAATCTGCATCTGCAGAAAATGCAACCGTTATTGTCAGAAGCAAAAATTTACCACGTCTAAAAATAGTAAACCAGCCTACCCACCATACTGACCTGAAATACCCTATATGCTTTATGTGACAGCAAATGTGGTTAAGGCTTTCTGCGAGCAAATAGACAGTGCAACGGAACAGAGTAACAGAGTACAAATATCTGGCGAGACTAGTTTGACTAGGAATGGAAAGAGGATATGGGAGATTTTCAATCCTCAGAGGAAAAGACACATAGAGTTATGCTGCAACTGGCACCATAGGTGAGGGAACCTCGTTGGCTACTGAGAAAGGGGACAGAGCATGTATGGGAAATTCCTCGGTTAGGTTAAGATAGTCTTTTCTCTTGGGCCTATGGCGGCGCATAGGGCAGAAGTCAAAGTTCTCCACGTCTGCCAGTTTTTTACCACCTGTTTAAGGATTCGGATGTTTGTTAGGCTCATGGCTGAGCCCTCCCTGATGATGGTTCTACGCAGTGTCTCTTTTTTGGTCGTCCCCGTTTTCTTTCCCCTTCCAGGGTGCTGTTATGTCAATTCCTGTTTCTTCACGCATTCACAATAACGCCATGGGGGGTTAAGTTTCCTTTTTTCATGCCTCGCAGTTTTGGTATGAGTTTTAAAATCTGCTAATTCTCACAAATGTTCCATAGATGGAGAGCTGGCTAAGGCTGCTGTCTGTGCTCCCAGAGAAGTCTTGATTAATGTCGAAGTTCCAGTGTTGCCTGCAGACACCTTCATCTTTCCCTTGTGCATTAAAGTGTTTCAATGTGGCGGTTGTTGCAATGTAGACAATGTCAACTGCATACCTGTAGCAACCAAGAGGGTGGTGTACAATGTAAGTAATGTAGTTGGTAGGTTATATAAGTAATGTAGCTGGTAGGTGATGTAAGTAATTTAGTTGGTAGGTGATGTAAGTAATTTAGTTGGTAGGTGAAGTAAGTAATTTAGTTGGTAGGTGATGTAAGTAATGTAGTTGGTAGTGATGTAAGTAATTTAGTTGGTAGGTGATGTAAGTAATTTAATTAGTAAGTGATCTAAGTAATTTAGTTTGTAGGTGGTGTAAGTAATGTATTTGGTAGGTTATGCAAGTAATGTGACTGCATGTAGCTGATGGGTTATGCAAGTATCCGGATAATTACCGTGATATTTGTATTTGCATTGCAGAGATTTGAAAAGACATTTGATTTCTGAAAGGATCCTTTTTCGCTGTTCATCAGCAAGTCATCTATGAGGAAAAAAACATAAATATACACTGCTCTTCTTGAGTATTTGCCTCCTTTCAATAATTGAATTAATCAATCAGTAAACCTCAAACTGGCCCTGCATGTCTCTCTTGATCGCTTGCCTTCAACTTTTCCGTCTTTTAGGGTTCTTATATTTTCATTTCAAGAATCATCCTTGAGAAATATATAGTACAAGATAGATTTCCTTACATGTTTTATGGACTTTCACAAGCGATAAACACCCGGTGACACAAAGTGCCACTATGCGGATGAGGATCACCCGTGGAGAGATACCAGAAACCCCTTTCAGCCGTTATGGCCACAGTTGTGGCCAAGCTATATCCAGGGCCCCCGGCAAAAGCCAGGCTGTGAAACTTTGGCATGAAATGAGAGGCATGGGGTTTCCAAAACATTTAGTACTTTCAATGCAATATCTTTAGCATGAACAATAAGCTGTAATCAAAGTAGCCTTCCTCTTTTCTTCTTCTTCGTCTTCTTCTTCTTCTTCTTCTTCTTCTTCTTCTTCTTCTTCTTCTTCTTCTTCTTCTTCTTCTTCTTCTTCTTCTTCTTCTTCTTCTTCTTCTTGCTCCTATTCTCCTCTTCCTCCTCCTTTTCTTTACGTTTCTTAAATGGAAACAGGAAGGATTGTTTCTCTTGGAACCAATATCAAAGTATTCATCACAAAGTGTCCGGTAAAGTAACACTAATACTGCGTATTGCTGAGTGCCGACAAAAAAAAAGGAGTGGTGGCAAAGATGATAATGATGATTATTATAAGTATTATAATGATGATGGATGATGAGGATAATGATGATGATGATACAACTCACCCGTGTTTGCTTTCTTCCTGCAGCTATTGAAATTCACTGTTGCAAGGGGTGACCGAACTACACGTGTGGACGGTGTGTACCCAGTGGAAGTGACAGAACACACAGCATGCAGCTGTCGCTGTTCGTTGTCCCAGGAATCATGCGGGCCCCTGAAAACTGTTGATGACAGAATATGTAGTTGCTAGTAAGTCTGTTGTTCTTCTTTCTGAGCATTCCGAACCCATGGGGTTTAAGGCTGTGAATACAGTCCGCCTCCATTCACTTCTCAGATTGTACGAGATGGCCAAACCACTTGATCTGCTATTTCTCGACGAGTCTAGTACAAGGTGTCTTCCCACAGTTTGTCTGATAGTGTCATTATTCACTTGATCTCGGATGGTTAGGTTGGCTGCTTTTCCCAGGCATCTCATCTCGCAGGTGGTGATTTTGCGTAAATGGGCTTTAGATAGTGTCCACGTTGGGCACTGGTAGCTTAATGTTGGAATAAATGTGCTGTTTGTAACCTGTCTTTTTGCACTCATAGTTATGTTTGGATGTCTTAATAATAGTTTGTATATAAGTGCACTTGTTTTCTGACATTTTGGTTTCTATTTCTCTGTCAATTCTACAATCTTTCCGTAAGCACTGGTCGTCAGCAAAAAATAGTTCGTTTAATGGTGGGTGAAACGATTACGTCTTCTGATGTGTGTATTTCCTCATGATTATAAAGATCTATGTTTCAGAACTTGCTTCTTTTGGATATTGTGTCTATATGAATGATAAATTAATGTGGGGAGAGCACACAACCCTGTCTCACATCTGTGTTAGCTGTGAACATATCTGATATGCCTTTTTGTGTTCTTACTGCACTTTGGCTTGTGTGGTACATGGCTATGATGTTCTCTGGTAACTGTCCTTGTACCCCGTAGTTCTTAAGAACAGACCACAGTTTATTTCTGTCCCCTTTGTCGACATAAATGACGATCATCAATTTTATTACAGTTTATCTTTCCACTTTTTTAAAACTTTAAAGTCTGTTTTCACCGTTGTGTTTTCTAACTGTCTTTCTTATGTTTTCTAATTTATATTTTGTTTTCTGTCTTAAAGTGTTTATTTTCTACCTAACATTGTTCTGTTTTCTACCGCACATTGCTTTGCTTTATACTTACATTCTTACATTGTTTGGTTTTCTAATTTACGATGTTTTATTTTCTACCTTATATTGTCTATCTCTTTTTTTTTTAACCTTACAGTGTCTATATGTTTTCTGCCCTAGGCTTTTAGCTTATTTTCTAACGTAGGCTGTCTGTCTGTTTCCTAACTTAAACTTTATGTTTCTTGAAGAAAGTAAAATACACACAGGCAACTGTGCATTAAGTTATCAACAGTGTAATGCAGAATACAAAAATGGGAGGCAGAGAGGCAGCCAGAAGACAGAGAGACTCGAAGACAAACAGGTGTGGGTTTATATAAATATATATATGTTTGTGTATTTAAACACACACACAAATACACACACACACACACACATATATATATATATATATGTTCGTGTATATAAACACACACATAAACACACACACAGCACACACACACACACACACACACACACACATATATATATACCTGTCTGTCTTTGTCTTCTGGCTGCCTCTTTTCATAAATATATATTGAGAGACAGAGAGAGAATTTATGTTTCTGTGTCTGTCTCTCTGATGACAGTTGCAAGTCCCCTCTACGATGCCACCCGCCACATTATTTCAACCCTGAAACCTGCAAATGCGAGTGTGCCCAGACGTCATCCTGCTGTCCCGGTGCCCGCTACTGTGGGATCATATTCAATGAAACTACGTGCGAGTAAGTTTATATTGATAAACAGTTAAGATCAGGGTAAGGTGGGAAGTGACATTCTTCTCTGGTTTGGTTGTGGAATGCAAACGTTGAGCTCAGGATATTCAAGTGTACGGGGTAAAGAGTAGGCTGAAAGATTATCTGCTGCTTTTTCTCTAGTGGCCAAGCGACTTTATGATAAAGCGGATGCGGTGTAGGGTATCTGGGATCAAGTAGACAGGGCAACACAAGAAAGAAACTATCATGATCTGGAGAGACCGATTAAGCTGCTAGCAAGCAGAGGGCCTGCGCGATGTGAAACACGCCCTGGAAAAGACAAGCGATGTTGTAACCAGGGTGAAACTGGAACTATCAGAAAGGGCACTCTTCATAGGTAGCTCAGGGAAAAAAGGAGGGAGGGTGAGCACTTATGGGAATGTCATGAGTGCAGTGTTGTAAGTTCTTGACTCAATCATTCCATCATTCATTCATTATTGCATTCATACAATAACTGAGTACGTAAAGCACACAGTAGACCAAGAATAAGGTGGAAATAAAACATCAGAGCCATTCTACAACAACACGATGTGTCTATTGTCGAGGCGAACAGAATAGCAAGAAGCAGAAAATTATATCTCCCTTGACACCCGAAGCGGTAAAAGAGTAAATGAAGAAGAAAAGACTTTCAGTTGCGTTAGGAAGTAGCACCACAGCATTTGGGACATTCCCATAAACGTCCTGTCTTCGTCTTCAGCACCCAGCGCAGAGTTCCAATTCTGATGCTACCACTAGCAGTCTGATCGTTTGTCTTCTTTGCTTTCTCCGAGTTTCTAATGTTGGTCAGATCCCAGGTCACTCCCCGCGGTACTATTTTCTCCAGATTATGATGTTCTGTTCGATCTTCCACATTGTTCACTTGATCGCAAAGGGCCTTGACCAGACCTCATGAATTAATTCATCGTGCATTGTTATCAAATTAATCGATCTTTTGGCCCTCAGGGTAATGGGTAATTATATTAAAGCTGCAGATATGTAGCGTTGTAGATGAATGTGTTGTGCCGACAGGCGAGATTATCACTGCCTAGCTGCACACCACGATACAGTTTGTCAACAGCCCCATTTAAGATGAACGATGTATTGATGTCCCCAAATAATTCACAGAATTCTGTTTGTGAAAGTTATCTTAAAGAAATTTACAATGTTCTGTTTGTGAGTGTTATCCTGAAATTATCTGAAATGTTTCTTTTTGTGAAAAGTTGTCTCAAAATATTATGTTTATGAGCTTTGTACTTATGTCTTCTTTCTTTCTTCTTTTGTCAATATCTGCTTTGTATCGCTAGGCGTATGAATTCCACGGATGATAGGCAGTCTAGCCACGGCAGAATAAGTTACTTAGTATGCTGTGATGAGGTCTGTAGCTGTTGGTGACCCATTTAGTCCATCTCCACCTGTGTCCCCTTCCGTCTCTTGATATTTCAGTTGTCATGTTAGACGCTGTCGCTACCGGCGTCGTTGAATTAACTCTCTCTAGGTGACAAAGCCTTGGCACTCTTTGTTTCTCAATGAATTTAATGGCCGATAGTGTTTTAATAGCTCTTTAAAACTCTTCGAAAATAAAGTTCGTTCGTTCGTTCGTTCTTCATTTTTCATACGATCTTTCCTGGTTTTGCTCGCTATAGTTCTCAAAAATCTGTCTTTTTTTTTTTTTTTTACAAGTGTTTGGTGTTTTCTTGTGTTCTTTGAAAAATGTCAAAGCCAAATTCTGATAACCTAAAAATTATGAATAAAAACTGCATTTATATTTTGTCTTTTAATATCCCTTGATATACCGAGAACATATATACAACCGAACGAAAAGTATGTCAGCAAAATTCACAATTTAAAGAACACAAACAAAACTTGAACGTTGCGGCTATGGAGCCTTCATCAGCACGTACATAAAGATAACAATACCACACAAATACACAAAATCACTTACCTTAGTATCTTGACGAGTGTTGTAAGACGGGGGTGAGCTGATATGTAACTTTGTTCTCAAGTAATTTACCAAATTATTCAATATATGCTAATGTCCCATATTATCCTGTCAGCTGCCAACAGGTCTCTGACAAGATGTACATAGCCAGTGGATCAAACCAGAATCAAGGTCAAAGAAACAACAACATTACTCGTGTGTCTGAAGGAAACCAAGCTGCAGGTTCTCAAACGACACCAAGAATATTTCAAGACACAAGATTAAGGCCGTCTGATTCATGTCTCGGCGTCATATGTCCCATCATGCTTGTGACGAGACTCAACTCGGAAGGACGCTGTGTGTGTACTACAAGAAAGGGCTCTTTATACAGAGGTCTTAAATAGTTGTGCAGCGGGGATCTTATTAGGAGACCCGAGTTCAAATAATCCTTAGTAAAGTGATGGTAATTTTTCTGCTGTGAGCATTAATACAAAATCTCAGGCTCATAGTCTGTAGTGGCTGCACTATTCTCAGGGCTCCCATATCATCAGACCTGAGATTCACCTTTGCTAAACCACTCTTAAAAGTAGTGTAAATAGACGGTAATGCCAGTTCTCTTCCATAATAGTTATATTTTTAATGAATATTTTAACAACCAGTGGTGTTATCGGTTGTAAGACAACAATATGACGCTACACTGGGTACTTCACAAGGAAAAGCTAGCAAAGAATCGCCAAACAGGCCCAGAAATGAGAAAACCCGTGATTTAAGGAAAAGAGCACGTCCAGGAAAAATCTCTAAACGAACGATGCTAAGAGAGGCCAAAGGAATTGCACTGGATTCCATCATGATTGCAAGGGACAGAAGATAATAGAAAACCAGACTGCGAGCCATATGTGACGTAAAACGGCAAGACAAGATTATAAAGAAGACGCTGATGATGATTGTTTAAAGTGCACGGTCTGTTTTACAAGTAGTTTATACAATAAATTTCCTTATTGCGGGATTTTTTGTTTGTTTATGTTAGTTTTCTTCCACTGTTGTTATTTTGGCAATATAAAACTGTGCGCTCCACTTTTTAAAGTACTGATGGAAAAACTATGTGGTCAAAAAAAAAAAAAAAACGTCAAAGAAAAAGCTTTTTTATACGTCTAACTTGGTATACAATGTTCAGTCTAGATGCGAACATTTCTCGCTTGGTATGCGACGTTTGCCTGAAATAGGACTTGCGTGCTAGAACTTGTATGAGTCAAAATGAGTAGTCAGGACACCGCGGGCTACCCTTGCTTTACCCCTCTCATTAATCAAGGAAATGTTTGCTTAAATACGTGGGTGTCAAATACTTAGCAGAGAAGTACCACCCCAGTTAAACCCCAAATAAGCCGTAATGGCGTTGTCTGGAATTACCAGACAATGTCACATTTCTGAAACACCTCGAGGAGAAGGCAGGAACAACGTTATTTTACCAGATTTTTAAAATTAAAGTCAACTGGTTAGCATTAACCAGGTTCAAGTAGGAGGAAAGACGGGGTTGGGGTTGAGGGGGGGGGGGGGGGGGGGGGGGGGGGGATATCACAAGAATGTAAGATTCCTCAAGTTTTATTGGAAGATGTGCATTGAAAGGAGACAATAACATCTCCTCCTCCTCCTCCTCCTCCTCCTATTTCAGCACCATCGTAGTAGGAACTTTACTCAGCAAGGTAAAGTGAGGTTTCATAGTATTATAAATATCTTCTCCTCTCCATGTGGCAAAGGCGATACTGGCATTGATTGATTGGGAAGAGAATAGACAACCGGAGGATCTGGATTTCGCAAATGAAATTATTCTGTTAAGTAAAAATAACAAAGACATGCAAAGAAAAATATACGATTTGTCATCTACAGCATCAAATAAGTTATGCGATAACAAAAAATATTAAAGATACCAACAACAGATCATGTAGATCTCTTGTTTGAGAATAAATCAATAAAAGTAACAAACCATTTTACCTATTTGTGTAGCAGTTTTGACTCTCGGGGAGATACAGCGAAGGAAATTATGATATGCACGGGCAAAGAAACATCAGTCTGTCTGCTCCAGGCTGCACTGCCATGTCCACCACATATCCACGATCTTCTTTGTGATATACATGACACTGGACTATTCACCTTAACACTCATAATTATTGATCATTACTATTTTGTATGAAAGTGGTCTTCATCACTCGTGAAGGACGAACAACACATGTCACTGGACATCAATGACATCATTACTGCCCATGTTGGGGAAGTCACAGTAACCGCCTTGCCCGCAAGATTCATCTGCTCATAGTAGCAGCAGTGGTAGTAGTAACAGAAGAGTAGTAGTTGTTGTTGCGGTTTGCCAGGTGGTTACAACCTCGGGATGTCATGCGGGAGACCCGGGTTAGATCTCCAGTAAGGTGATGGAGTTTTTCTGTCGGGGGCACAATGAAACAGCCTAACCCAACTTCCTAACTCCCGGTCAAAAAGGACGCTAGGCACGGCAACTGTTTTGAGCCGTGGCAAATTGTTTGCTTCTGCCAGAAGGTGGCCGTTGCATTTTTGCTCCATTTGTAGACTGAAAGAATATAGTTTCGTCGCCCACCTTCAAAGCTGAGTGCATGACGTGACACTGTGAGCTGCGGATTTCATTTGGAATGATTTTCGACTATGACCAACGTGGTGATGTGAATTGTAGATTAAGAAAATGGCGTGATGCCTGTTGTCCCAATATTGATGGTGCCTTTATGTGATTAAAATTTATCGCGTGTGCAACTGCTGATCTGTTGGTGACTTCTGCTACCATCCATGGTGAACTGCATTTCTAATGTCGGACTGTTTGTGTTAGCACTTCGAATGGCTACCGTATGCTTTTAATGCTGGTGTATGCAAGATATGCTGAGACAACAGTCTGTCAATCTTTCCACAAGGGACTGGGATAAACATTCTGGGTGTTTTTCTTTGGCACAGGAGCGGAGCGGACCCGTTTGCTATGAAGCTGAAACTAAGATTACCAGATTACCAGATCCTAACTTGAACAGTCCGTGGCGACAGCATAGCCATGTGGCCTCTCAGGCTCATGACCCCCTGTCTACACCGATCTAGACAGGCAGTAGTGACAGTTTTTTTAGTTGTTGTCTTGTTGGTGGTGGTTCTAGTAGTAGTACTGCTACTCGATATGTGTTGTAAATATTACACTGGCCGCATTTAATTCTTGTTACAATTGCTGCTACCCATTTTAGTCTGGGTAGAAACGGATGCCAAAGTCAATTTTTTTTTTAAATGTATGATGAATTTCAAATCCTTCTGAGTGGGAGGGAGGAGTAGATTAGAGGGGGCAGTAGGGAAGGGTGTGATGACATAAACTGTTAACTAAGAGAGCTTAAAACATGATTTTCTTCCTATCTTGCATACACCAGCATTAAAAGCATACGGTAGCCATTCGAAGTGCTAACACAAACAGTCCGACATTAGAAATGCAGTTCACCATGGATGGTAGAGGGTGTGATGACATAAACTGTTAACTAAGAGAGCTTAAAACATGATTTTCTTCCTCTTTTAAAAAATTATTTATATTTTAATAACGCTACCTCAGCTATTCTCATTGGCCTTGAGGGAGGGGTGGGGGGAGGGTTAGACGTACAGTGGTAAACTAATTTATATATATATATATATATATATATATATATATATATATATATATATATATATATAAGTTCTTCACAAATAATAATGCATTAAAATTCACAGCGTGTTCGAAAATACCCTACAACAGATGGAACCTATCTCTGCCAACACACCTCAACCCGCGTTGCGCTAAACCATTGAACGCAACGGAAAAATCAGAACTACAGGTTACTCGTCCGAACAGCAGAGGCCTAAGAGAGCGAACTGACTGACTGACTTTCTACCCCACCAGGACATCACACGAGCGATAAACACCCGATGACACAATGTGCCACCATGTTGGTCATGATCACCGGGGAGAGGTCCCAGAAACCGCGTTCAGCCTTTAGGCCATATTTATGGCCAGGCTATATTGCGGCCCCTGACAAAAGCCAGAGTAGGGCTTCAAATAACGAAAAATTTTATCCTAAAAAGGATGAAAACTATATAATGTTAGTCCACACGAGACATAGAACACGGGACATAGAACACAGGACACAGAACACGGGACATAAAACAAGTTGCAGTTTGTCCCTTCCAGGATTGCAGTCCTCAGCATTAACACATCAAAGATGAGAATCCTACATTTACAGAGTGTTTTCAAAGTCTCAATTCATGTGGTGTGTAGAACAAATTTGCGAAACGAAGTATGGGACGTCGAAAATATGCTCCACAGTCAAACGTGAAGCAATATGCAGTGATTGGCTGTCGTCTTCTGGAGTAATTATTTGCACCCAAAACAAAATAATGCTATCAAAGGAAGCAGTCAGCAGTCAAAATTACTATGCAATAAATAATAACAGACACGTTGCAGAATGTGTTTGACAATGGGAAGAGACATGTTCAGTCATGCCTCAAAGCCTGCAGTGACCATTTCCTAGACATAATAATAATGAATATTTCATTGGTACTCCCCCCCCCCTCCCCCGTTTCTTCTTCTGCCTCCAACCTCCAATGGAGCATAGGCCCTCAACCAACTCACGTCAAGTTGTTTTAGCCTTCGCTATTGGATGCAGCTCACCCCGTGTCCTCCCCATCTTTTTAACTTCACTCTCTAGCTCCTTTCTCTATGTGTTTTTGGCCTGCCTTTATTTCTATGTCCCTGTGGGTTCCAGTGCAATGACATTCTAGTTATATTGTTCTCAGGTTTTCTTAATGTGTGTTCTATCCAACGCCAGCGTCTTTTCTTGATCCACTAGAACTTGTTTAATTCTCTCCCAAAGTTCAACAATAGTGGTTCTATCACACTATCTAAATCTCTCTATTCTGCTCAGGCACCAGTTGATGAATGTTTGTAATTTATTAGTAATTGTTGTAGTTGTTCTTCATATTTAAGGATTTTAAAAAGCTTTTCTAATGACGACATGTACTTGGGCTTTCCCATTTATTTTGCATACAAAGTATAAAGAGACTTTAAAAACACGAATAACGATAGTTATCAACATAGGAGTGACTGCAGTCTAGCTGGTATAACAAGACGAATTCACCGCACAGAAGCCAGGAGGGCAGTCGAAAGTGTCGACCGAAGTCTTTATCAACGAGCACCATGACAACAAGAAGAAAAAGAACCAGTTCTGACGCGGGAAGCTTAACCATAGGGTGGGGAAGACCCTCGTTTACCCCTCCCTATACCCCTTAGAAGTTGGGAATGCTATTGACGAATTGGCTTCAGGGAAAACCCCAGGCAGAGATGGAATTCCTATTGAAATCATCAGGACTGGGAAAGACATTCTAACCC